GTTGCAACCAAAATTTGGTTATCGATATTCCCTTTCATTAGCTTTTAAAGGATATATCAACTGAGTCACATATAATGGAATGCTGTTTCAATTCATTAGTTGGTCATTGGAGGGCAACCAACATCATGTTACCTAGTCCTGAATGCTGACTGAATTCTATCGATTGTTCTCCAATGTGGCCATCAAGCTAGAAGGCTCAGTATCGCGGAAAACTGAATAGATGTTAGTCGGTTGGAGGTAATCGTCAGCAAGGCGTATCTGCTACTTCGAGGGAAGTGATGTTCCCTCTGAAGTTCTTACCCGCGTCACTCAGTTTTGTAGCCAGCGACGTTACAACTGATCTATTCGGGTCACAGTCGACCTCCTGCAGGACTGGACTGGATACATTAATTAATTATTGGAGGACAACCAACTTCAATTCGTTCTTTAATATTATTGAGTGAAAAATAACACGTACGCTTTACAATCTGCTAATACTTACATAGTAGTTGCTGTATCCAATGTATGGTTAAGAAATATTGTTAGTCTTTGGCTTGATGTCATACCAAGTTTATATTTTCTTATGGGAGGCGTAAAACTGGTGGTGCCGTTCAGCACACATTTGACATCTTGCTGACTTAATGCTTGACAAACATCACACCAAATCAGTTTGTATGGAAACAGAAAGCAACACTAAAAATGACCTCTTATCGAGCAATCTAATGTCACTTACAGCTAAACTTGGACAAAAATGCCTATTGATGCGGATGAGGCACAGTTAAGGAACGAAAAGTTGAATATATTCATTGATACAAGTGTACAAAACAAACTATACACTCTAGTTTGGTTGAGGTCTGTACATGAGAATTTGTAGACTCAACTGGGTCATTAGAACTGATTTTTAATTCATTGGATGGTGTTATGAGCAGTTTCTATACTTTTTGTTGGCTTATTAATCAGCTGAATGTACTTTCATAAGAAGACCTGTCACAGTACAGCACAGATAATTATCGGAGGTTGTGGGATTTCCATGTCCAATTTATTAGGGTTTTCGATAAGTTTACAATTGCCCCAGACTTTGTGCTGGGAATATCAAACAAAATGTCGCTAGCTTCTGAAGCTTAATTAACAAAACACTTCTGAGTTTCAAACACATATAAAGTTCAGACAGTGAATCTTTATCATATTGCATTTAGACGCAGAAAAAGACTAATTTGAACTTTATCTGATAACTTATGCTAAATTTTCAACCAGCAATAAAAGTACAGAAGTAATAATGAGTGGTGGTGATAAAAAACAAGTAAAGGTGGTTTAAGATTGCAGTAAATCTTTCGATACTGTTATAAGTAAAAACATAACAGTCCAAGTAACAAGATAAAAGCTTTAGGCGGTGGAAAGGGGAGAGATGGCCCAACATTTTATCACATCTTACCAAATACATCTGAATTATTAAACGTATTGTCAATCAAGTGGATGGTTCAGTGACAATCACGCTTTCTTCTAACAAGTAAAATTGCACTACTAAGGACGAGAACAACTCACGATGACATTTTCTTATATTTTCATGATATGTGGATAAGAAAGACCAATGGGAAAATGCAGGCACAGCAGATATACTCTAATGCCAAAGTGAATGACCGTCCTAATGTTTGTCTTAGTGTGCAGCTATCGATGTACAGTAGTTCTTTGATATTGATGACCAACATGCATGAAACAGATTGAAATAAATTACGTTAAAGTTATGTAAAGTATCAGCAGTAGTAAGATAAAGATATCCTGCACCATACAGTGGATTTACAGATGATAATATGTTGAAACTAGTTGCACACCTAAATTAAAAGCATAAAAGGTTCTTAAAAAGCTCGGGCATAGTTTGTAAAATTGAAAACCAGTTACATTCAATCCATGAAAATGAAAAAAGTGGCTTATAATAAATATCTACCCACAGCAAAAGTTCTGTCTTCAGTACATGATATTTATCTTCAGTATGGTGCAAGATGATTTGCTCACAGAGCAACAAGACGATACAAAGAAACAAAACCAGCAAAGAACATCGCACACCGGTTCATCGGTTTTAGTTGACACAGTCCAAAATAGCATCACAAGAACAAGTGAGCAGAAAAAGATTGATATGAAGGTAGACAAATATGTATGCGAAGAAAAGGAATTTGATTATGAAGGCTATTGAAAATGTTCAAGTTTGAGAATACGTCAATGGATCAGTACATCTGTCTCATCGTGATCGACTTTCGGTCACGTCGCTGAGCACCTCTAACCATTAATTCCTGTCATCTCGAAGACCCTGACTTGGCAGTCTACGCCTCCCACCACGGCTCAGACCAACAGTCAGAAAATCCGCAGACCAGTACCACTTCATGACCTGTTTCCTCTGGACTTTCTTACAACCCGATCTAACTTAAACAAGCTCTGCAGTTTGAGATATCTGGTGGCCTGGCATACGATACATATGTCCAAGCGACTTCAGTCACTAAAGGCTCACAACTTTATTGGCTGACTTGCTTATGTTACCTAGTACTTTTTAACTAATCTCAGAGTTACTTACATAGTGATTCCACAATATTTGAGTAGTGCTGTAAATACATCTGTGACTGAAGATCTACGATCTCCTCATACCTTCTGATTTTAACGGTTATATATCGTAGTTGTATAACAGGATACAGCAAGCTGCTGCGCTGTATCCTCGTAGTTAGGCATCTCACCGGTGTTTGAGATGACAAAAGTTGGAAAATGACAGGCGAGTACTCTGTATCCAAGCTGAGGTTTCGTCAGCAACCAGCCTATTTACGCTGTAAGTGAAGTGCTGGGAGACTCCTGCTACGTTTTTCTACTTCCTTGTACTGAGAGTGACTATAGACTAGTTCTGAAGCATCATCTTATGTTTGAAAGTTGTGAAAGCGCGTACCAAGCATTCTAAAATTTTTCTTCAATGTGTTCGGATAGGGATCTACATGGAATTCCAGTCACATAAGACATACTGTACTGTGTACCAAGACTACTATTCACTGGATAATAATAATCTACAGATTACAGCGTTGGAAAAACTCAAATACTGTTTCCAGCAAACTGATGTATTTGGAGGATCAGAAATTTGACACTGAGATAAATAAAGCTTAAGGATATAAAAATAAAGTTGTTTTTTCGTATCTATCACAGATTTAATCCTTATTTTTCCCAAATGAAACAGAACAATTTTTGTCAGAGCTTCCCTTTCGTATACTTGCTTACCAGTTTATCCATCAAGCATATCTACTAGTCGCTAAACGCAGTTTCAGGTTTGAAGGCAGTTGTTAATTCAGCTAAGTAATTTCAGAAATAAACCGAAATAATAAAATTTAGTTGAAGCTAAATGGATGGCAACTAAGACGTTATAAAGGGAGCCTAATGTCAATGAGAACAAATAAACCTTTACTGTTCACTAGATTTTTGTAGACAGACACAATTACTAGTAAACAATTTAAAATAAATTCATCATACTTGGGTTAGTTTCGACTTATTTCACTGAAAACTTCACATTATTTTGATCTGGAGCAAGTTTTGTATAAAATTACAACTTTACCACAACCCTGACAACGGTGTATGAAAATCTAACGAGAGATCACCACCATAGACCATGAAATACAAAGATAACTAACCCTGTTTAATTTTATCACGAACATATTAATATGAAGTAGTCTATATGCCACTATACAAAACGTATCTCCCATCATGAAACCCCCTTATCAAACTTCTCCGTATTTTTGATAGACCTCAACGAACGCAGAACAACGAGGAAACAACGCACCTGTCTTTTAATGTTACCAGTGAAACGCTGTACTCGAAAAAAAAACATGAGAAAACTTTGAATAGCTGAAGAGTGTTGCAAGTGGAAAAGTTTAGTTGTGAGATCTTCTCAATCGAACTGTTCTTGACAAGATCACTACTGAGTTTCATCAGTGCTAATCTACAGACTTCTGACAGACAACTTGTATCCAACAAACACAAGTTAATTGGCTTGTAACAGTCTGCTGAAACTCCTAGTAAAATGAAAGAAACTCACTTCGTTCAATTTGTTGAGAGATATACTTAGTCTAAACTGTGAACTGTGGCTGACTATTTAGTAATGTTTTTAGGCATTAGTTTTTCAGCACTATGGCTTGCTAAGTATGCTGAAAGCATACACTGAGTAGATCTTTTTAGCATTAATCCTACAATGCATATTGCTGACAGTGAAACAGGAAAGCTTTTGAGGTGGTATTTTTTTTACAAACAAGGTGCTAGCACTCTGTATTGTAAATTTAGAATACCGATCAATATGCCCCGCATGGTAGGCAATTTAGGTGCACTCTGACATTTCCTGGTAATTTCCAAAATCAGCTTAAGACTTTTGTGCACAAATCTAAAATAAGTCGTATTTCGCGAGATTATAGCCTTCAGGAAGTTACTAAAAAGTTATAGATCTCGGATACTTAGAATAGGCACTAATACATGCAAAGTCTATTCACATACACCACTTACTATTTGCCGTAATGCCATATTTATGAAAATTTGGATGCACTGTAAACAATTCGGATAATTTGGGCAAACTTTGACAAGTTTAGCGATTTCAGTAGAAATTTTCCATACATTATGGGATGAGAATGGATCTTTTGCGGCAATCCCGAAGTTATTTTCCCTATTTATTGCTCAAAAATTTCAAAGTGAGCCCAAAGTGTTTGCTGGGGCCAAATAAGCTATAGATTTTTATGATGCGCACTTGGAACCTTTCCCGGGATAATGCTTTTAAAATGAAAAAGCTAGCCTAATCAAAGTGTTAGTTGAGCCGAAATATGTATAAACCAGGGTTGACCATGGCTTGCGAATAAATTGATTTTCACTGAATGCAAGGCATGATCAGGTTTCGAAAAAACAGTGCTAATTAAGTATCAGCAAAGAAACTTTGCTTGTTAATCACAGTACACACATCATATAAAACTCATTGGATGAATTCAAAACGAAATAACTGTGTTTCTTTTAAAACTCACAACATAAAGCATTTTGTATATCCGCCTTTTGCACCATGACAACGCACTCAACATCCAACAATAGTGAGAGTGGAAGGAACTGATGGTTTTTGATATCTGACGTCTTGTTCTTAGGGCTTAGTCCCTGCTGTTCTGACTGTTCCTGCATTGGACAAGAGAATCTCTTCTGGTTTTCTTCTCTTAACTCTGATGAGGTGAATGTTTTGTGTGGTTAGGAAACCGCAATTTGTTGGGACACTTAAGGGTCTTTCATGACTGTCATCTGCCCAGGTAACTGAATAAAAACGGTAAAACAGTGCTAGAAGGTGTGTGGGATGTTCCCGAAAAATGAAAGTTGACCGCATGAGTTCGATTAATAATAGGGAGCTAGAGGATAAAGTAGGGATATTAAAAGCGGAGTAGAAGTGGGCTGGTGATTTCACTACTGCTCTAATCACATCATTAGTAAGCCGTGGGAACTAAATAAATTGTCCAACCCCTATTTGAATGAATCTACTGGAAGCCTGTGACTAAATCCCAAGGTTGAGTATTCCACATAGTACGTGCTGTTAAAGGGAAAGAGTTTGAAGTGGGAACACTGTTGGCCCTTCTATGGGCTTTCACCCTGATGACCACCGTGTCGCATGGAATCTCGGTTTGTTTGCATGACTTACCTGGCTGATGACCTCGTGGGTCATAGTAGGGTCAGCCCTCTTCTGAGGCGGCATAAATTAACTGGTTTCAACTGCCTTTCTTTTTCCATCTGGGTGTTTCCCCCACAGTCCGAAAATTCCTTTTGTCGAAGATCCATAACTTTTACAGAGAGACTGGAGTCTTTCGCAGATGACAGAAGTACTACCATAGCGAAGAATTCCAGACTTAAGGTTTAAAAACTGTTAGAAAACGTTTAGGAGTCAGAGCACCTAGCCGTCCGCACATGGAGTATTAAGCGGCGTTCTCTTCAGCTGACATTCACTTGTAATTAGTACTGGTTTTTTTTTGTATCGGAGGAGTTGGACCGTAGGTATTTTCCTATGGACACTTTGACGATAACATAGTTGTTCAAATAGTCCTAGAACTCGGTCGTCTTTGCTTCATGAGCACTGATGTGGATTACTATTCACTTCTCCAGGTGCGGAGCTCTAAATGTTTTCTGATAACCAGCACTTGCAGGTCACTCTGGATTGCACTATACTCCACCCCTTTGTTAGAAAAAGGAAGATAGGTTAGGAGATTTTGTGCGAGGGATTGTTGGTGGACAGCATGATTAGAATTGGCTTCAGGATTGCCGCCTGGGATACCCTCAAATTTGATGGCCTTCACTTCGACTGTATTCCGTTTATTCTTGTGGAGAAGTGTCTACCTTCTGGATACGCTTAGAACCAAGAAAGAAAAGTCTCGCTCATTCATGCTGGTACGAATTTGTGAAATAGGATTTCATGCGTAAGACGTTAGATGCTGTCACTGGGTCAGGAAGACTGACACGGACTTGTTTTCCTATGGCCCAGATAAGGGTATGGTAGTCAAAGGCACTCAGCAAGCTGGTGGTACATGAACGACCTTTCTGGAAGCCATGAAGACTATTAACGTGAATGTCTAGCGATTTCCAGGCCTGGTAGTGTTTCTCCACAGGGGCTTGATATACGGTTGACTCCTTTGTTAGTTGATTTGCCTGTCAACGTGAAGTGGTAGAGGTGTTTCTGGTTACTCCATAACTTCCTCTTTCGCTGTATTCGTAGCCGAACCTGTCGCTACGAACTCTTATGTTACATCAGTCGCGAATTCCTTTGTATGTAAGGAAGTTGAACCCCTTGAGTGATGAACGCCACTTAGCCTGGGTCCGCTTGATCTGGTGTACCCTTCCTGTCCTATGCTTCCGTTACGAGGTTCCCATTAAAGATCGGTGTTCCACCTCTGGCACACTGACAGATGGCCCAAAGTGTATTTCCTTCACCTGCGTCTATTGTTCATCTATAATAATAATAACAACAATATTTATTCCTGAATATACAAGCACACACCATTTTTACAGGTATGAATAAGTCTATATGTAGGTTACATGTACCTCCATCGAAGGTAGTCTCAATCTGTCATGAGACGAGTCGGTGCACGACGATGATGCACTCAAGAAAAAATCCCTCTCGATTCGATGGTCGACCCTGCTTCGGGAAGGGAATTAGTTGGGCATCTCTGGTTGCAGAGCCTCCTTGGTTATGATGGTGAAGGTTATCACATTATAGTCATTAAGGTTAAGAGACGGCTGGACGCAAACTTTCCCAATGAGACCATTTTTCATCATAACGTAGTTTAAGCACGATGCACTGGCATGTGGTTTTTAAAGAAATTCACTTCTAGGACCATATTTTCAAATGAAATGGTGATCACATCTGACTGGTGTTAACAACAACAAGATTCAAGGCAAAAACGTGAAAAAACGGTTTGTTTCTGATTAGTGACTGGCCGGTCAATAACGAAGAATCAACAGAAACGAGGGGAAATTATGTGGTGACAGATCATTCAGCCGGTAAAAGAGTCCGCAGCTTAGGCTCAGTGTCCAAAGGACAAGAATATGATATACTTTTGTGCACTGAAAAGTCCACTTCTGCATAACGTGACGTTTCTTCTGCTTCGCCATTGGCCCCTGGAACTGCGAATTGAAAACATTCTAAAATGCAAGGGAGTATGTGGTGTGTTCGGAGGATAAACCTGGATTTCAGGATTTGTCCTGGTGCGAACTTGACAGACGCAAAGACCAATCACTGATTACTCGGACTTGTTATATACCCACGAGTACGAGAACAAGGAAGAACACGATAGCGTAGTCGGATGGAATAGTATATTTGGATGGTTGTGCCAAAATGCCGATGCGTTCCAACTAACTGGCTAGAGAGTCGAATACGAGCAGTGCAAAGTGACACGACAGCGTGCCAAATGGCGAGTACGCCTGACCGGGTACCTTCAGCTTAACGAGTCCAGTTAAACTATCAAGGTCAGCATCAATGTCGAAGTCGTCAAACCCTAGGCTATTGATTTTGGGGGAGTGTGTGACGCTACAGATCACTCCCCCCTAGTGGGTTCGTGAGGACCCTAAGACAATACCAGCCGGAAGTAAAAACTCAGTGGTTTCTCCACTGGTAAAACTCTTCCGATGGGCTCACTGCGTGAGGTGGCCCCTGGTTGTCTGAACTTATTCTAGGGTGTCGTGGAAGTTACAAAATAAAACACAATAAACAGAATTGTACGTCGATCGCGGTCCTCAGTTCCTTTTGACGTTCCGTCCAGTGCTCGTTGCACCTGGAATATAAATGAAAGTCTTTAATACCACGAAAACGTTGCGTAAAAATGGGAATTATTTACATATAAACACAACGAAAAATAAAAATTTGCGCTTATTTTCACCGTTCCTTTTAAAGTTTCATTACATGGTAATAAAAAATAGACATAAAAAGGCAAAATGCACGAAAAGTTTCGCATTGCCAGTAAATAAGAAAAATATTGCTCGGAAAAAATATTGAATTAAAAAAGTATGGTTGGCACATTTTATCCAACAAGTTGAATACGACTTCAAATACTCCGGGAACCTGACGGTTCGACCTGATCGTGTTTTCTGTTGCGCTGATGGTTGTCGTAACTGTGCGTTACCAGACACATCGTCAAGAATTTCGATAATTGGGCTATCCGCCAGTCAGCTGTAGCGAGCTGAAACGTCACTGATAATGCGGTTGCCTTCGAAATAAGCTGGTTTCAAACTGTCGATACCGACAGTATCCTCACGTCCGTTTCGCTCAACCATATAGAATTTCTGGTGTCGCTTGATCACTTTGAATGGCCCGTCGTATGGTGGTTCAAGCGGTCGACGAACGGCGTCGTGGCGAATAAACAAGTGTGATGTCTTTTGTAAACTGAGGTGAACGAAGACATCAGTCGTTTGAGGTGTAGCCGGAGAAGGCCTAACTAGGCGCATTGCGTTTGTAAATCTAGTCACGTACAACGCCCTGTGGGAAACATGTTTGAAAGTTGAAGGGGAAACAAAGTCACGTGGTAGGTGACTAGTTCCATAGATGAGTTCTGCAGGGGTACATCCAGCATCAACTTTCGAGGTGTTACGAATACCTAGTAGGACTAGAGGCAGAGCCTCGGTCCACTGAGGTATGTTTGCAGCTGAAAGGGTAGCTTTCAGCTGTCGATGGAAACGCTCTACCATGCCACTTGCTTGTGGATGGTAGGCTGTCGTTCGGAACCGCGTGCAACCTAAATGTGCAGTTAGAGCTTGAAATAATCCACACTCAAATTGGCGCCCATAGTCAGTTGTGATGTAAGATGGATATCCAAAGTTCGCGATCCATCCCTCGACGAAAATATGAGCTGCCGTTTCAGCAGTAATATCCTTAACGGGTACTGCTTCTGGCCGTCGTGTGAAACGATCGACACAAGTGAAAAGGTAGGTACATCCATTCGGTTGTGGTAGGGGTCCTACAATATCTATATGGACGTGGTCAAAAGCATGTCTGGGGCTAGAAAAAAGCCTAAAGGGCTTTTCGTGTGTCGCGTGACTTTCACTTTCGACAAGCTAAGCACGACTGAGCTCACTCCTTAACGTCTTTGTTCATCCCAGGCCAGCAGAAACGTTGTGCGATAAGCCTCATGGTGGCTCGTACACCTGGATGAGAGAGTTTGTGCAACGCATTGAAGACGTTGCGCCGACAACTCTTCGGAACTATTGGGCGTGGTTGACTAGCAGAGACATCGCACAAAATTGTATCCTTGTCTGGTTCAACCGGACAAAGTCGCAGCTCGAGGGCTGTGAACGACAACTCATGATACAGCTCAAGGTCTTCCTTTTGACGCCGAGCTAGTTCAATGAAATCGACGCCCTCGACATGATTTATCGAAGCTATTCGTGATAGTGCATCGGCTAGGGAGTTATTTGCTCCAGAAATGTGGCAGATGTCTAACGTGAACTGGGAAATGTAGTCAAGCTGTCGCGACTCACGCGGAGAGTATTTGTCAGACTCCGAGCTGAGGGAAAAGGTTGACGGTTTGTGGTTTGTGAAAA